AACCATTTGCATTATTCCATAATAATAATTGTCTCGTTAAACCCTTTGTATTATTTGTCAATTACCCTAGCGAGTAGCGACTAGAGTTATAATAAGATGCTGGCAAGCTCAAGGCATCGAAGCCCCAACATCCAACTGTATCCGTACGATGGACACGATAGAAAAGATCCGCGTACACAACACGGGGTAACACAGGCAAAAAAAGGATTTCTCGAAACGCCATTAGCCCATTTGCATTGCCATCGGCCAGTCTCTCTCTTTCTGCCGCTCGCTCGCTCGCTCGCTCGCCTGGAAAAAGGTTGTCTCTCTGATCCTCGCTGCCTTATACCTCTCTTCCCTTTTTCTTCACCATCTCAACTTCCCTTCCTATTTTGCTGACTTTGAGAAAGGATTCCTGACTCTCTCTCTCTCTCTTTCTGCTCGCTCTTTGTGTTTGATTCTTGGGGGCGAATTTGTAGCTGTGAGGAGAAAGAGCGATGGCGGCGCCACCAGCAAGGGCTCGTGCTGATTATGATTACTTGATTAAGCTTCTCTTGATTGGTGATAGCGGTTGGTTCTGGCGTTTCCCTCTTTGTCCTTTTAACTCTAAGTCTCTTGCATTTGATTGATGCTTAATTTACCCTTTTCGTTCAATTGGTTTTCCATAAAAGGGTTTGGTTCATATTTGGGTTTTATTAAACTTCAGTGCTACATTTTGGAACTGGGGATAGAGATACTCCTTCCCTACTTTGGTGGATTCATTTGTAGCTAGAGTATTTGGAGCTTGTGGCAGTAGGCTTTCGTTTGGGTAATCTAGCTAGAGTTGCATTCATATTGATGGCATTCAACCTTAATCTCGCAGAATTGGGTTTCGGCAGTAGCTTGAGTGCCTGATTGACGTGAAATGGGATTGTGTTTATGATGGCTTGTTTTGGGTGGAGTGTGCTTTGTGAGAGTACTACTACGGCTCGAGTGCTCCATGAATTGATAGTGTGTTTTTTGCCAGTACTGTGTGGGAATCTGGTTCGGGAGGCCCGAGTGAAACTTTGGCTGGATATTAGCCTTTTGGTCTGGTGCTGTATGGATTTGCAGCGATATTGATAGAAAGAAGGGGAAGGGGTTAGTAAGGAACTGTTTGAATTTGATCACAGTACCATTGAGGAAGGATAGGGTGCCGTAGCATCCCAGGGTTCAAAAGGAAATAAGTGTGCTTTTTATTCTTCTTATAACTTCCATAACTGTAGCAGGTTCAAGGCTAGTTAGTGTAAAGGACAAGCTACTCATCTTTCTTGAGAATTGGTGTACAAAGTGCCATTTGCTTTACTTAATATAGTTATTCGGCATTGAATCTGAAACATGGTGTCGAATACATCATGCAGTCACAAGGGGTATATTTTAAGTTGACCATGCAGTTTTGGGAGAGTTTTCTTAGACTGGCCTCACTTTCCCAAAAGAGTAGAAAACTTAGAAAATTAGTTTCAAGTTCCAAGCAAGCCTCTTTTGTTGACTTAGACCTGATATGGTTGTAATGCGGAGTTCAATGGCGATTTAACCCACATCTGTATGTTAGTCATGTTTAGATGCTTGTAAAGTGTTCTTCACCATGTTATGGTTTCTCTTATGCACAGCTGTTATTATACGATAATGATGATGTCGTGTTATCAACTTATAATTTGATTTTAAAGTGCTTGCTGATACATGAAATTTCTGCTGGTGGTCCTATCCTTGCAGGTGTGGGGAAGAGTTGTCTGCTTTTGCGTTTTTCAGATGGTTCCTTCACAACAAGTTTTATTACTACTATTGGGTTTGTATTCTTCAGTGCTCTCCTAGCTTTAAGTTCTAAATGTATCTCTCTTTGGGATAACCTGTTCATGAATTCATCTTGTAAAAATTGAAAATTAAGAAAGGTGGAAGTCTCATTTATATATATTTCTACTTTCAAACAGAATTGACTTCAAGATAAGAACCATTGAGCTTGATGGGAAAAGAATTAAATTGCAAATTTGGGATACAGCAGGTCAGGAGCGGTTCCGAACCATCACAACAGGTTTGTCTTTATGGCCATCTCAATAGGTTGATATCCCATTTTCCTATTTAAATAGGGGGTTTGGTTCATTTTGTGTCTATCGTATTTCGTGGTTTCCATGTTCACTATGTGCTTATGCACTTAATTAATGTCTTGTAGCTTATTACCGTGGAGCCATGGGAATTTTGCTGGTGTATGATGTCACTGATGAATCATCTTTTAACAGTAAGTTTTCTTTCCCTACTTCAACCTTTAGGGCGTTTCCAGTGGTTCCATAATTTGCGCCACATACTTTTAACAAGTTCTGAATTTGGCATGGTGGCGATGTCCAAATCTTTGCCTCTTTCATAGAGTTGGATTAATATATCATTGTTTGTGGCAAGTTTCTTCATTTTCTTGCTTTATCTGATTACTTAAGCTCTTATCCTCTCTTCTTATTTTGACGTTCAGATATTAAGAACTGGATCCGCAACATAGAACAACATGCTTCTGACAATGTCAACAAAATACTGGTGGGAAACAAGGCAGATATGGATGAAAGTAAACGGGTGGGTGCTGCATACAGCTTCTCTTGTGGATTGATTTTTTTGCTGTGCAAATTTCTTTCTGCATTTCCTTGTGCTTGTTGATGCTCAAGAAGGATGATTTTCTTTGATATTATAGGCTGTTCCTACTTCCAAAGGCCAAGCTCTTGCTGACGAGTATGGCATGAAGTTTTTTGAAACTGTAAGTAACCGTAATCTATGACATCCATGTCCGGGAGTAAAAGGACTTGGATAATTTGTTGTCACATTCATGACTGGATGCATGGCTTTTGCAGAGTGCAAAGACAAACTTGAACGTGGAGGAAGTTTTCTTTTCCATTGGAAGAGATATCAAGCAAAGGCTTTCAGAATCTGATACCAAGTCCGAGGTACTTGCTATTTGCATTAATCTATTTGAGTCCTTCACTATATACAATCTACCTTCCTGGGAATATTAGCTCTCTGCCATATCAAGAGAATCTATTACTCATTTTGTCCTATCCATCCATCCTGGCAGCCTCAAACAATCAAGATCAACCAACCGGACAATTCTGCTGGTGGTGCGCAAGCTGGACAAAAGTCAGCTTGCTGTGGTTCATAGTCCAGCCAATCGTCACATGGTGATGGCACGTTGATGATCGATCTCAGAGTGACATCATCTACTGAGGGGGTGTAAGATTAATTATAGTTAACATCCTTCCTTCTTGGTGCAGGTAACTGTGCCTTTATGTTATTTTTACAAGATTTCAACCAGGTTTAGCAATTTCAGGGTAGTCGCTCCCTCTGTTATTTCCCTAATCCGTGGAACCTAAGAAACAGCTGGATCCTTTTTCTTAGTATGTCATTTTGGTTTTGGGTGCTTGAACGAACTCGTCGACTCGATGCCTTTCGATGTGGATAGATAAACTGGAATTGCTAGTTAACCTCTGTAATGACCAAATCCCATGTTGGGGAGTTATCATAATAGTGTTTTTGCTTTTTCTTGAAAAGAAGCTTCTGTGGATTGAATGAAGCTAGCTGCATGCTTTGTTGAACGGTCTTGGCGTGTACACAAGGCATGAAGCATAACGCTGAGTTTTTGTGTGTTGCATAAGGTTTGGCGTCTGCTCGACCTTTGAATGAAATTCAACACGGTGCAAGCCACGACACTGAGGGGTCGTTTGCTTGTTGGATTTTATAAAATGAGGGATTCGAGTAAAACCTTGGATTTTGAGAGTAAATGATTATGTTGGATTTTGTTATTTTGGATTTGTGCTGGATTTTAGAAATAACATGTTTGCTTGTTGGGTTTCAAAATGGATTATAGTATAATGAATTTATGGGTTACATGATGAATTTACCATCATATTCTTATTCATATTATTAATAAAATATTTTTATTTTTTAGTTAAAGATACTTTGGTAATTTCATCATTAGTGTGGTCCATGGATTTTGGCTTCTCCCAAAATTCTAGCTCATAAGGTGGGATTTTAAAATCCGTGGTATGTACGGATTTGAGCCAAAAATAATTCCACATCTATGAGCCCCACGGATTTAGGCCAACCTCATTTTAATCAACAAACATGAATTTAAGACATAATACATCATATGTGGGATTTTGAGGCAAAATCCCTTATCAAAATTCTACAAGCAAACGACCTCTGAGAATCATGGGTCTCGATCGGATCGGATTAAGCCATTCTCGACCAACTCATCCATCCATATACCCCGGTTTTGATAACTATATTCCTACCGCAAATCTAAAAGGATAGAAGTCCTGTTAGAATATTAGTATTAAATATCAATGATATTTTGGGTTGGGTTGGTTTGGATGGATAGATCTGGGCTGAAACCAACACAATGCAGGTGTTGTGGTTCGTGAGGAAATGCGAGTTCTTCGACCGGATTTTCCTTCGGCTAGGTGCAGCTACTTACTGGTCCAATGAGGCAAAATGCAGGAAACCACCAAACAGACCCTTGAGTTTCGGTTCGACCAGTCAGATCTGGCCAAGTTTGATAGCTTGGCGTCCAATCTGATGCACTATTTGGGCCGGAGCCCAACAACGGAAATTTTCCTTCTTAGAAAAAAGTCAAATGCGAACGAATATATAGAATAATAAATAGCGCAAAAGAAAATTAAGGAAAGCCGACCGCTGAATAAAACTTAAAAAAATAAAAACAAGGTAACAAATAATTCTCCAAAAAAATAATTCCTTTCGGGTTGCAGCTTCCAGAGAAAGTGGGGGGAGTGGAAGGCTTAAGACAGGGTCGCCGCTTGCGTCGCTGCTCGGAGTTATTAGGTTTGTTTTCCATCTCCTTCAACCCTTTAACGCTTTGTTTGTCTCCGTCCTCGTCTCTCATTTCTAACTCGCCGGTAAGCAATATTCCCGTCGCCGTCAATTCCCCAAACTGCTGCTCTCTCTTGATTTCCCTACTTCGGCGTTTCCATTTGTTCATTTTTTGACGTTTTTCGGTGGTTGCTTCGAATCTACGCCAAGTTCCATTCAGCGTGGATGTTGAATCGTTTTATGGGATTGACTGAAATCCAATCTTCGTCTTTGTCGGTGTGTGGATCAAGTCGAGGGTTTCTGAATCCTGTTGGGCGCTTGTTTGTGGTTTGATCCGGTCGAGTCACACTTCATGTTCTTCCATGTTTGATTTTCGTGGTTCGGTTTCTTTTTCTGCTTTGTGTAACTGACCTTTCCGATTATATCATCTTGAGTGCTTGGATGGGAGCGTTTGATATTGGTTTTGGTAGTCCAGAGAGTACGGTAAACTCTGCCTGTTTCTTCTCGATGTGGAATTGATTTCGCCGGGCGAATTCATCAGTTTCTGTTTCAATTCAATGTTTCAAACAAGAGACTTCTTTGCAGAAATAATTGGGTTAATTATGTTTTTCCTAGAATGATATTTAACGGCTTTGACACTTGAGTTTGTTGCTATAATGCTATCCCTCCATTTTGCCTTTGTCTAGGATCCATGTAGCATGGGGCTTGTTTTCTAATCTTCTCTGTTGAAAGTTTGATTATTCACTTTGTGCCTGTTTTGCAGCTTGAATAGCACATTAAACAATGTATATGCTATGGAAGCTGCTTTGCTTTTCTTTATGGTAGTTCCTAGGTGATCCATTGCTTTCTTTGATGCATATTTCTCATTTGACTTATTTGTTTCTCTTTAATAGGGCTTGAAAGAAGAACAATAAGCAACTTTAGACTGAGGTTGAGCATATTCTTTCATGAACTAGCAGCATTAGGTGGATAGCCATGGCGTGGTTTAGAGCTGGTTCTAGCATAGCAAAGCTTGCAATTAGGAGGAGTCTATCTCAGGGTGGTTCATACACTGCCAGAACACGGGTGATTCCTGCTCAAAGTCGGTATTTCCATACCACGGTCTTCAGGCCAAAGGCACAGTCTGCACCTGTACCCCGGCCTGTCCCTCTCTCTAAGCTCACTGATAGCTTCTTAGACGGAACCAGTAGTGTATACTTAGAGGAGCTTCAACGTGCATGGGAAGCTGATCCTAGTAGTGTGGATGAGTCATGGGACAACTTTTTCAGGAACTTTGTTGGTCAGGCTGCTACATCTCCTGGCATTTCAGGTCAAACTATCCAGGAGAGTATGCGGCTATTGCTTCTGGTTAGGGCATATCAGGTTAACGGCCACATGAAAGCTAAGCTGGACCCATTGGCCATGGAAGAAAGAGAGGTACCTGATGATCTAAACCCGGCTCTTTATGGATTCTCAGAAGCAGATCTTGATAGAGAGTTTTTCTTAGGAGTTTGGAGGATGGCTGGGTTTTTGTCGGAGAACCGGCCTGTGCAGACCCTTAGGTCCATATTGACCAGGCTTGAGCAAGCTTATTGTGGGAGTATTGGATTTGAATACATGCACATTGCTGATCGTGAGAAATGTAACTGGTTAAGGGACAAGATTGAAACTCCTACACCGATGCAGTATAACCGTCAACGTCGCGAGGTTATTCTTGATAGGCTGATATGGAGTACACAGTTTGAGAACTTCTTGGCCACTAAATGGACGACAGCCAAGAGGTTTGGACTGGAAGGTGCAGAGACATTGATCCCTGGCATGAAGGAGATGTTTGATAGGTCTGCAGATCTCGGTGTGGAGAGTATCGTTATTGGAATGCCACATAGAGGAAGATTAAATGTACTTGGAAATGTGGTAAGAAAGCCTCTTCGCCAGATATTCAGCGAGTTTAGTGGTGGTACGAAACCTGTTGATGAGGTTGGGCTCTACACGGGTACTGGTGATGTCAAATATCATTTGGGAACTTCTTATGATCGTCCAACTAGAGGCGGAAAGAGAATTCATTTGTCTCTGGTTGCAAATCCTAGTCATTTGGAAGCTGTGGATCCTGTTGTTATTGGAAAGACTAGAGCTAAGCAGTATTACTCGAATGATCTGGACAGGACAAAGAACATGGGAATTTTGATTCATGGTGATGGTAGCTTTGCTGGACAAGGTGTAGTGTATGAGACTCTGCATCTGAGTGCACTGCCAAATTACAGCACTGGTGGGACTATACATATTGTGGTGAACAACCAAGTAGCTTTCACAACAGATCCACAGGCAGGCAGGTCTTCACAATATTGTACCGATGTTGCAAAGGCCTTGAATGCCCCAATCTTCCATGTAAATGGAGATGATGTGGAAGCCGTTGTTCATGCTTGTGAACTTGCGGCTGAATGGCGTCAAACTTTCCACTCCGATGTTGTTGTAGATTTAGTTTGTTATCGCCGTTTTGGGCATAATGAGATTGACGAGCCATCTTTCACGCAGCCCAAAATGTACAAGGTCTGCGTTCTTGTTCTTGCTCTTGTTGTTTTTCATTGCTTGCATATCGTGGGCTTAGGCATGCAATATGATGTTCAAGAACTCTTATGGGGAAGTTAAATAACTTGTGCTGTATCTGTTGACAGGTCATCCGGAGTCATCCCTCAGCTCTTCAGATATATCAAAACCAAATCTTAGAATCTGGGCAGGTCACTCAAGAAGATATTAGTAAGATAAATGAGAAGGTCAGCGCAATCCTGAATGAAGAGTTTCTGGCCAGCAAAGATTATGTTCCTAAAAGAAGAGACTGGCTTGCCTCTCATTGGACTGGATTCAAATCACCTGAGCAGGTTTCACGCATCCGAAACACTGGGTATGTGGTCTGGTTTATATACTTCTGTTCATTCCGTTTGCTTTCTGTTGTATGAATCATGTTCTGAGAGTTTGTGCTTTTTGTCCAGGGTCAAACCTGAGATATTGAAGACTGTTGGAAAAGCAATTACTTCTCTTCCAGAAACTTTTAAGCCTCACAGAGCTGTGAAGAAGGTTTATGACCAACGTGCCCAGATGATAGAAACAGGGGAAGGCATTGATTGGGCTGTTGGAGAAGCCCTTGCTTTTGCCACATTGTTAGTAGAAGGTAACCATGTTCGATTGAGTGGTCAGGATGTCGAAAGAGGAACATTTAGTCATCGCCATTCCGTGATTCATGATCAAGAAACTGGGGAGAAGTACTGCCCTCTTGACCATGTTGTAATGAACCAAAATGAGGAGATGTTTACCGTCAGTAACAGGCAAGCAACAAAATCCATGGTTTTGAGATGTCTTAGTTTTTTTCTTGGAAGTGAACCTTCATTTAACTTTCTATGCTCCATCGCCTCGTAAAGAGATCTATATCATTTTGCTGACAGAAATTTTGTGTTCCAATGTGCAGCTCTCTGTCAGAATTTGGTGTGCTTGGATTTGAACTGGGTTATTCTATGGAAAGCCCAAACTCACTGGTTATCTGGGAAGCCCAATTCGGTGACTTTGCTAATGGTGCTCAAGTGATATTTGATCAGTTCTTGAGTAGTGGCGAGTCGAAATGGTTGCGTCAAACTGGTCTGGTTGTGCTTCTTCCTCATGGATATGATGGCCAGGGTCCTGAACATTCAAGTGCCCGATTAGAGCGCTTCCTACAGGTAACACCACTAACCAACTCGCATGTAAATGGAAAATGCTTTTTTCAAATAGGTGTTTTTGCTTGTATAGCACGTTTTTAATTGAACGGTAAATGTCTACTGGTTGCAGATGAGTGATGACAATCCCTATGTCATTCCTGAGATGGACTCGACTCTGCGTAAACAAATTCAGGAATGCAATTGGCAGGTTGTGAATGTCACAACTCCTGCAAATTACTTCCATGTTTTGAGGAGACAGGTGGGTGTTGTGCTTATTAGTCACAATTTAATTAGTCCATCTATCTTTGAGTTACTTCAGCGCTTCTTACTTTTTGGTTTGCATTCCAGATACACAGAGAGTTCCGTAAGCCTCTTATCGTAATGGCTCCCAAAAATCTGCTTCGTCATAAGGATTGCAAATCGAATCTCTCAGAGTTTGATGATGTCAAAGGCCACCCTGGTTTTGACAAGCAAGGAACAAGATTTAAGCGTCTAATAAAGGATCAGAATGCACACTCTAATCTCGAGGAGGGCATCAGACGCCTGGTTCTCTGCTCCGGAAAGGTTTGTTAGTACTTATTGGCTGCGTTTGTTAAAGATTTGTCTTAAAAGTTGATACCTTTTTAAGTTGAAGTACAAGTGAGGTTGGGTTAGGTTTTACAAAAATGTCGAGTTGATGGAATATGAAATGTTTTTTGGTATTAAAAAAAGAAGAGAAATGATGAGTTGTGGAAATGATTATTGTGAGTAAACTTTAAGAGTGGATTCTTATTTAAAAAGAGGCAAATTTGGAAAATAAGAGGGTTTTTTTTTTTTTTTTTTTGTAGAATGAACTTTTTTTAGTGAGCTCCCTTTTGAATTTAGATATTTTGTAGGATTCAGGGGTGAATAACTATTGCAAAAAGTGTGTTTATTTTAACTTGTAAGCCAACCTTTTCTTGTTGAAACTACTTAATATCTGAGCAAGAAAAAAAATCACATTGATTAGTTACTGCTTCATCTTTAGCACATTGATGATTAAATTGTTGATAAAATCTCATGTAGGTCTATTATGAGCTTGATGAAGAACGCAAGAAGGCTGGTGCAAAGGATGTTGCTATTTGTAGGGTGGAACAATTGTGCCCTTTCCCATATGACCTCATTCAGCGTGAACTGAAACGATATCCAAGTACATTTCTTACTTGATTGTTGTTTTATGCATTCATAGACTAATTTTCTCCTGATCTTGAAAGTCTGGCTTGAATCTGCTTCTAAACTTGCATGCATGCTTCTCCCTCCATTACCATTTTTCGCAAAATATTGCTCATCTGGGCACTTTTTTGGTCCCAAGAGCCGCCTCTGTGGGTCCGACTATTGCTTCGATATCCACTTACATGTATAATTTATTGAAGCAAATCTAAAGGTTTGACAAAGCTTAGGGTTGTGGGCTTCATGCTTTTAGGGTAATTTACCTCGCTGGCCTGTTCTTTCCGTGAAAACAGAAAAAGCGAGGTCCTTTCCATCTCTGCCAAAATGAGTGCTTGTTGCTCTTTTTTTATCGATTAAGGCTTGTACTCGGTTCTGTTTCAGATTATTATTATTATTAAGACCATTTTTTGAGCACTGATTGCAAGTTGAGTATCATTCTCATATTCGCTTCGTGTTTTTGTTTCAGATGCCGAGGTTGTTTGGTGCCAGGAGGAGCCAATGAACATGGGTGGATACAACTACGTAGCACCTCGTCTTTGCACAGCCATGAAGGCACTCGACAGAGGCACCATAGATGACATCAAGTATGTGGGCCGTGCTCCCTCTGCATCCACCGCCACCGGTTTCTACCAAGTCCACGGGAAGGAACAGTCGGAGTTGGTGCAGAAGGCGATCCAACAAGAACCACTCCATTCCCCTGCTCAAACTGTGTAATAGTTTTCAGAAAGTTACATATATTTATACACTTCCATCTCCCCTTGAGACTATTCTGGGGACGGCACTAGTTTCCTCTTTTTTTTTTCTGTTCTTATTTCCACATGACTTGGTAGCTGCGGAAAGCTAGAGACACCCTGAGTTTTGTTTTCGTCTTATCGGTTCTGGAGAAGAATCAGTAAGGTTATACGTGCGAGAGATACATTGTTGAAAGAAGGGATACATGGGTGTCAGTGAGTTGTTGAATAAGGAGATTATGATCTCCTTCTTTGATTCCCAAGTTGTTGCTTTTTCCCCTGGATGGAAGTTTACAGTATATTGAATCCTCAAGTGGCGAGATTACCATCTTTTGCTGTGTGTTTTTGTTCTGTTCCAACAGGCTTCTGCCTCTGCTATTAACATTGTTCTTGAACTATTTTTCTTTGGTTTGGATAGGTAGATCTATAACATGTAGACCGAGGAACAGCGCGCGGCTCAGCTCTGAAAAGGTGAATCAAAGTTCGAATGATTCACCGTAGTTAAGTTTGTGCTGAAACTCGTAAAAACCTTTTACAATCGTTGCCCTTGATTTACCTTGCAGTGCTAAGTTTACAGTTTGGACTTAACATCTGAAAACAAAAGTTTTGGTTATAATGGAACTGAATTCCAGAAATGGTATGTTTGGGGGGAAATCTTCGTCATTTGCAAAAGATGCGCTACTATGTTGTGTATCTTGACAGGTACACGTGGCAAGTTATGTAAGAAGGAAGGTGATGTGGTCTTTGACCATTGCACCGTGAAAAGTGTAGATATTGGCATAGTTTGATCAAATTTCACCTTTCTTTATTGCCTACAGAGGAAGAATTCTCACTCTTCCATGGAAAACAGATCTGGTCAATGATAATCACCTCATCCAGTGGTAAGAGTGCTTCCACATTGTAACTTCCCGTTGTTGTATGCCAATGCAATGCAATGCTATGCACAGTTTACGTGTAATTCTTCTTCCCATCTTCACAAGTTATAACTTTGTTGCATCCTGATCTGAGATTGATGAATCTGTTTCCTTAACATTGGCCCCGCTTGATTATGGGATCGTCGATGTCTCGTCGTTCATTTTATCAATGTTGTTCATGGATGTTCTGTATATTGTAAATTGTACATGCATGACACATCTCTTTTGCAATGTATTCCCGAGCGCCATTGATTGATTGATGGATCCTTTATTACAATGAAGCTTGCATCTTTGTAATAGTTTTCATATCTAATGTTACTCTTGTACTGTTTCCAGGATTTGGCCATGACACCGCATTAACCTTCATTGCATAAGAAACTGCTATAATTTGGCATTTTGAGGGCTCACCGTGGGAAAATGGGGTGGTTTAGAGCAGGATGTATGATATCAAGAAAGCTGGCAGCCAAGAGAAATCTCTGCGGACTGCACATTTTCAGAAGAGTGCAAGCTTTCCCCTTATCAGCCACCAGACGAAATATCCACAGCACAATCACCAAACCAGAACAAGCGAATGCCACCAGAACAACAGACAATTTCCTAGATTCAGCAAATAGCATCTACATCGAGGAGCTCCAAAGATCATGGGAAGCGGATCCTAGCAGCGTGGACGAATCATGGGACAACTTCTTCAGGAACCTCGTTGGCCAGAATCATGTTAAGGGAATGGCTGCTGCAGGAGTAGGAGTTTCTGGGCAGCAGTCGATACAAGAGAGCATGCGTTTGTTGTTACTAGTCAAAGCATATCAAGTAAACGGGCATACGAAAGCCAACTTAGACCCACTCAATCTGGACTTACATAAGGATGCTATTCCAGAAGACCTTGACCCAGCATTCCATGGCTTCACAGAATCCGACCTCGACAGGGAATTCTATCTGGGAGTGTGGGACACATCGTCCGGTTTCCTGTCTGGTAACCGGCCTGTGATGACCCTGAGATCCATCATGAATAGGTTAGAGCAAGCCTACTGCGGCAGCATTGGGTACGAGTACATGCACATTGACGATAGCAGCAAGTGCAACTGGTTGAGGAACAAGATTGAGACACAAGAGCATACAACCTATGATGTTCAACGACGTAAAGTTCTTCTTGACAGGCTGATTTGGAGCACAAGGTTCGAGAATTTCTTGGCTGTCAAGAAAAAGGCAGAGAAGAGGTTCGGGCTCGAAGGTGGCGAGACACTCATTCCGGGGATGAAAGAAATGTTCGACAAGGCTGCTGATTTAGGTGTAGAGAACATTGTGGTTGGAATGCCACATCGTGGGAGGCTTAACGTGTTAGGTAACGTGTTCAGGAAGCCACTAGCACAAATCTTCAGCGAGTTCGACAAGAAGGCGAAACATGGCTTGGGCGAAAATGGTGAAGTGGGGGACTATATGGGGACGGGTGATGTGAAGTACCATTTGGGCACGTCGTATGACAGACCGACAAGGGGAGGGAACAGGATTCATCTGTCGTTGATGGCGAACCCAAGCCACTTGGAAGCAGTGGACACTGTTGTCTTGGGAAAGACGAGGGCTAAGCAGTACTACTTCAAGGACTGCGACAGGACGAAGAACATGGGAGTGTTGATCCATGGAGATGGTAGCTTTGCCGGGCAAGGAGTAGTTTATGAGACGTTGCATTTGAGCGCCCTGCCCAAGTACTGCACTGGTGGGACTATACATGTTGTGGTGAACAATCAGGTGGCTTTCACTACTGATCCCAGGTCGGGAAGGTCTTCACAGTACTGCACCGATGTGGCCAAGGCGTTTAACGTTCCGATTTTCCATGTCAATGGTGATGATGTTGAAGCAGTTGCTCGTGTCTGTGAGCTTGCTGCTGAGTGGAGGCAGATGTTTCATGCCGACGTTGTGGTTGATATTATATGTTACAGAAGGTTTGGGCATAATGAGGTTGATGAGCCATTGTTCACGCAACCTAAAATGTATAAGGTAAAGGTCTTAATGCATGTTTATAACATAGCTTACTAACATATACGACGGGTTGTTAGAAATCGTGTATTCTTAGAATCACAGAGAACAATGCTGATCACCATGATGCAGGTGATTGAGAAGCATCCTTCATCGCTCGAGATATATCAAAAGAAGTTACTGGAATCAGGGGAGGTGACACAGGAAGAAATCGACAGGATACATAACAAGGTGGAATCAATACTAAATGAAGAATATGCAAACAGTAAAGACTATGTTTTGAAAAGAACAGACTGGCTTTCTTCTCATTGGGCTGGCTTCAAGTCGCCTCAGCAGCTCTCTCGCATTAGAAACACCGGGTAAGTGATCAACACAGATGCATATCATTCATCCAAATTGCGAATTTTTAACCACTTGTTGCTAACAGTGTGAACCCAGAGGTGTTGATGAATGTTGGTAGAGCAATCACTACAATCCCAGATGATATGAAGGCACACAAGCAAGTGAAAAGAATCTACGAAGAGCGTGCTCGAATGATCGAGAGTGGGGAAGGTATCGACTGGGCACTCGGAGAAGCCCTTGCATTTGGTACATTGCTGGTTGAAGGCAATCATGTTAGGCTGAGTGGACAAGATGTTGAAAGAGGCACATTCAGCCATAGACATGCTGTGCTTCATGATCAAGAGAACTGGAAAGAGTACTGTCCACTAGACCACGTTATTCCGGACCAAGACAAGGAGATGTTTACTGTAAGCAACAGGTGAGTGTGTATACATTCGAGATTCTCTTAACCCTCTCATGCTACATCATGTATTAGTTTGTTGTTTAATAATGGATGTTCAACATCGATCATTCAATTCGCAGTTCACTTTCGGAGTTCGGTGTGCTTGGATTCGAGATGGGTTATTCCATGGAGAACCCAAATTCCTTGGTGATGTGGGAAGCTCAGTTTGGTGACTTCTCCAATGGAGCTCAAGTTATGTTCGATCAGTTCCTCAGTGCAGGGGAGTCAAAATGGCTCCGACAGACCGGTCTGGTTGTTCTGCTCCCTCATGGCTACGACGGGCAAGGACCCGAACATTCCAGTGCTAGATTAGAGCGTTTCCTAATGGTAATATATCAGCAGACCTTCTGTCTTGAAGGACCATTTTTCGGGTTTCTTGCCATGAAAGTTTTCCAAATTTTTTTGACAGATGAGCGACAGTTACCCTTATGTGATGCCTGAAATGGAACCAACACTCAGAAAACAAATCCAAGAATGTAATTGGCAGGTCGTGAATGCTACCACTCCTGCCAATTACTTCCATTTGTTGCGCCGTCAGGTGAGATGATCAATGACGAAATGTTCCCCCCTTTGCGTTTCGAATTTCGCTACTATGCATGCAGGAGAGCGCCTACAAGAGCTGACACCATCAGATCGCTCCTTGCACGAGCTGGACCGTGGAACATACATAGTGACATGTTTGTTAAAAACAGTCAAACGCTATGTATCCAACGGTACAGATCGCGCGCAGAGACGATCCAACGGTGTCATCTCGCCCGTGCATACTCCCCTGTTTTGTCTGCATAGTAGCACAATCCTTACTTCTCACACACGCTATCTCTTATTGTTGATGTTGTTTTTGTTGGTGGTGAATGAGATAGATACACAGGGAGTTCAGGAAGCCATTGATAGTAATGTCCCCCAAGAACTTGCTGAGGCACAAGCTCTGCAAGTCCCATCTGTCCGAATTCGACGACGTGCAAGGCCACACTGGATTCGACAAACAAGGAACCAGGTTCAAGCGGCTGATAAAGGACCAGACTGGACACTCTGATGTTGAGGAAAGCATCAGAAGACTCATTCTGTGCTCTGGAAAGGTTTCTTTCTCGTCCATCCTTTTTTTTTTCCATTCTTGTTTGCTTGTTTGGAACTCTCTGCATAAACGTGTTGATGCAGGTGTACTACGAGCTTGACGAAGAGCGTGGGAAGGGTGATAACGCAAAGGACATTGCCATTTGCAGGGTGGAACAATTGTGTCCATTCCCATACGACCTTGTCCAGAGAGAGCTAAAGCGTTATCCAAGTACGTTACGCCTCTAGTTTCTTAGCTTTGCTTCACTGCCATGCATGTTACCTTTTGAGATGTCATGTTGGTTGCTTCCATTATTCTTGAGCTAGTGGTGGCTCATTGATTCAATCTAGATTAACCAGTTAATCACGGAAAGTGGCGTGTGTGGATGAGAAATTATGATATTATTCCATATTGGATGACAAAAAGGGTTTATGCAAACACATCTTAAACTTTGATTATGAATACAAGTGGCTAATCGAACTTTCGACACATTCAATAGTATTTGACTGCTTAATTAGTAGATCAGACGGACTGTCCAATATGAGTTTTCCGTTTTTAATCCTTGCTTTTCATCAATTGCACCGCATACCGTGAGTCTGTATGCATGCAATTAGGGGTGGCAGTTCGATTTCGATTTTTCCATTTTAACAAACAATAAATCGGTTTTATAGGTTTACAATTTCCCTTATCAAGTAAAAGCCGATAAACTATTAACGGTTTCGGTTAAAACGGTTCAACCAATAAAAAACCGATAAGCATTGACATTTGACACAACTGAAAGTTGGTCATTTTTTTTTATTTTTGATTTTATTCTGATTAAGAGAACCAAAAACCAATAAGCTCTAAACGGTTTCAGTTTTTGGCATTTGGCTAATTCGGGTTTCGGTTTATAATAGATTCTGGTTTGGTCGCAGTCCCTCTACAACGCCTTTCAACTCTGCTCGAATGACGAAGGATACGAACTAGGTTAACAGAATTTGATGTCTTATGGTTTTGTTTTTTTTTCTCTGTTTGGTTTGGTTTTGCAGATGCGGAGGTGGTATGGTGCCAGGAGGAGCCGATGAACATGGGGGCGTATAGCTGCATTTTGCCGCGGCTGGCGACGGCGATGAAAGACACCGGGAGAGGGTCGTACGACGAGATCAAGTACGTCGGAAGAGGTGCATCGGCTGCGACGGCGACGGGGTTCTATCAAGTTCACAAACAAGAGCAGGCTGAATTCCTTCAACGTGCCATGCAAACTCAACCCATCCAGTTCCCTTGATTATTCCATTGAAAGCTCAATTCAGGGCTGATCAATTTCTAATTGAATTTGATGAATTCTAACAATCGGATGTGTTTGGAAAGAATAAGGTTGGGACTTAGAAAATACAATAAAACAGATTTACAACAGTTGTTTGGTATATAACAAGATTTTTTTTTGTAATGGATTGGATTATGGTTGGTGTGGTATTAATGTCATTATTTTTGAAACATTTCTCTTAATATCGGTGTTTGTTAAACTATATTGTATTGACGGCTCGATCGAAAAAAATTGCCTGTCAAAATCCAAGTTGACGATTTTACAGAAATGTTGGAAAGAGGAGCTCAGCAAACTCTGAGGCTTCTCTGTTCTTTTATATCAAACAGAACGATTAACAAAAGCGAGACACGTGTCCGAACAAGAGTGGCTACAATATTTAAACTAACAGTAATTTTAACGGTTAATGACTACTAAATAAAACGCTGCCGTTCTCTTCTTCTTCTTCTGTCGACTCATCAGAACGTCACCGTTTCCTCTTCTTCCTTTCTTCTCTTCAGCTAATCCTGCTGCTATCTGGATTCCAGTAGACAATCCAGCTTCCTTCTTCACTTGGACCTTGATCCTGCAAATGGTTCTGTCATCCCCCCTCAAGTTGGTGGTGTCAACTTGATCCCCAACTTGACCAGCAACTCTCTCAACCTGAAACGATCAAGGCCCTTTGTAAAAATATCTGCTAACTGTTCTGCAGTATTGATATACTTCAGCTTTATCAAACCAAGTTTCACCCTCTCCCTTGTCACATGCATGTCAATCTCAATGTGTTTGGTCCTCTCATGGAAGACCGGATTCTCTGCTATGTGAATTGCAGATCTGTTGTCACAGTAAACAGTTATAGGAAGAGGAACTTGCACTGTCAGTTCAGCTAGCAGCCTTTTCAGCCATTCCACCTCACAAACCAAGTGAGCTAGTGCCCTGTACTCAGCTTCTGAGGAAGACCTTGAGACTGTAGTCTGCTTCTTTGTTTTCCAAGTAATCAAAGAAGTACCAAGCATGGTACAATATCCAGTGATGGATCTTCTTGTGTCTGGGCAACTTGCCCAATCTGAGTCACTATAGGCTGTCATAGTTAACTCAGCTTCACTGCTGAAATGTATCCCCTGATCTGGGGAAGACTTCAGGTACCTCAACACTCTGTAGGCTGCCTGCATATGTTCCTGGCATGGAGACCTCTGATACTGACATAACTGTTGCACAGCAAATGCTATATCAGGTCTGGTGATGGTCAGGTAATGTAGCCTGCCAACTAGTCTCCTATACCCTTCTGCATCATCCATTGGAGTTCCTCTGGATGTCAACTTAACCTTGGTATCAATTGGTGTTTTGCACCCTTTTGATTCAAGATAACCTGTATCTTTCAACAGCTCCAAGCAGTACTTCCTCTGGCATACATTCAATCCACTAGCATCTCTGCTCACTTCCAATCCCAGAAAATACTTGAGTGGTCCTAGCAACTTGATTCTGAACTCTTTGCTAAGAGCAACCTTCATTTGTTCAATGTCCTTCTTTGAGTCTCCCCCCAGAATTATGTCATCAACATAAACCAAAAGCACAGTCACCTTTCCATGTGTCCACTTAGTAAAAAGTGAATAATCAGAAGCAGATTGTGAGAAACCAAACTTCAAAAGAAATGTGGTTAACTTAGCAAACCACTGTCTAGAGGCTTGTTTAAGCCCATACAGTGATTTCTTGAGTCTGCAGGTCATCTTCTGATTGCTTCCTGAAGGCACTTCCAGTCCCAATGGCAACTTCATATATACTACTTCATCCAGGTCTCCATGTAAGAAAGCATTGGAGACATCCAACTGCTCTAGAATCCAGTGCTTCACACTTGCCACTGCCAGAAATGTCTTCACTGTGTTTATCTTTGCCACAGGGGAGTATGTATCCAGAAAATCGATACCATACACTTGTGTATACCCCTTGGCCACCAATCTTGCCTTGTTTCTTTCCAAAGAACCATCTGGAAGTAATTTTATCTTATAGACCCACTTATTTCCCACTTCTTTAACTCCTGGTGGTAGGGGAACTATATCCCAAGTCTGGTTTTCTTCTAGAGCATGCATCTCTTCTTTCATTGCTCTATTCCACACATCAGATTTGATGGCTTCATAATAAGACCTTGGTTCAACATGATTCAGTACACTTAGGACATAGAGTTGGTCTTCTTTGCTCAATGAATGAACATTCAAACATACTGGATGTTTGCCACATGCCTGACTAGTGCCAAAAGCTCCAAACTTGAGTGTGGGATCTAATTGATAGTTCTTAAGTCTAGTAGGTAGATTGATTTGCCTGGAAGTTTTCCTGGTCTCAAGTGTATTAGGATCATCAGGATCTATGTCAGCTTGGATGTGTAATTCCTGGTCATCAGAGTCAAAATATATGTAATGGTCATTACCATCAGAGGAAACTGGCTCAGATAGCATTGCCTCAGGCTCAGTGTTCCCCCCTTCATCTGTAGATGAATGAAACTGAGCATGAGGGGAAACTGGTTGTGTGGCTGGTGGAACAACAGGAAAGGGAACATGAAGTGGGGGAGCAGAAGAAGGCATAGGAGAGGGTACAGGTGAAGGGGAAAAAGAAGGAGAAGGAGAGGGGGTGGAAACTGCTTGAGTTTTGAAAGGGATGATGCTCTCATAGAAGGAGACATCTCTGGAAAAGAAAACTTTTCTATCATGTATATCCAGAACCTTGTAACCCTTGATACCAGCAGGTATACCAAGGAATACACATTGTCTGGCTCTTTGAGAAAACTTGGTTCTGCCATGAGATAATGTGTTGGCATAGCAAAGGCATCCAAACACCTTCAAGTGCCCAAGAGATGGCACTTGCTTGTGGAGCATTTCATAGGGGGTTCTGTTATCTAAGATAGGTGTTGGGATCCTATTTATTAGATAGACAGCATGTAAAATGAAATCACTCCAATAGGACAAGGGTAACCCTGACTGGAATTTCAAACATCTAGCCACATTTAGAATGTGTTGATGCTTCCTCTCTACCCTTCCATTCTGTTCAGGTGTTTCTACACAGGAAACCTGATGTTCAATCCCTTCTGTTTTAAAGAACTCACACATCTCAAATTCCTTACCCTGATCAGTTCTAATCACCTTGACTGATGTATTAAACTGGTTCTTAACCAGGTTACAGAAACCCTGTATTAAGCCCCTAACTTCACTCTTATGTCTCATCAAATAAACCCATACACATCTTGAATGATCATCCACAACAGTCAAGAAATAGGCAAAGCCATCATAAGAAACAGTAGATAAAGGACCCCAAATATCCATGTGAACAAGATGAAAAAATCTCAGGTGCAACACTGGTGCTAATAGGAAATGGTAGTTTTCTCTGTTTGGACAAATGACAGACTTCACAGTGAAGAGTCTTAGATCTGGAAAGAGTAGGGATTACAGAACTAAGTAAAGAAAGCCTATCATGACTAGGGTGTCCTAGCCTCCAGTACCACAGGTTCAGGTCTTGGGGTTGAAAGTTGAAGGTGAAGGCTGCTTGATGTTGGTGATCAGTGATGGAAGACTTGATGAAGCTTGAAGGTAAGGCTAGGTGATAGAGGCCTCTAGTGGTGTGGGCTAAACCAATCCTCTTCTGGCTTATCAGGTCCTGGATTTCACATTTATCAGAGTGAAAGTGTAAGGAAAAAGGGTAGTCATGTGTAAGTTTGCTAACAGAGATGAGATTGAATGAGAAATGGGGAACAAACAGGACATCATGTAGGGTTAGACCACAGGCCAACTTAACTATTCCTACATGTGTGACTGCTACTTTGGAACTATTGGGAAGGTAAACAAAAGAGTCAGGAACTGGTTTGTAACTAGAAAAGAGGGTGAGACTACAGGCAATATGGTCTGAAGCCCCTGTATCTACAATCCAAAGGTGAGGATTAGTGGTTCTAGTACTTGGAGAAGAGGACAAGACAAGTTTACCTGAGAAGTTGGGAAAGGTAGTAGGGTGGAAGGTGGCTGAATAAGCTTGATGGTTAAGAGATGGAGAGGTAGGTGGGGATGATGTATTAGCACCAGTCTGCAAGAGATACCTGAGACGATTCATCTCTTCAGCAGTGAAGGCAGGGGGAGCAGTGGCTTTACCTTCATTGGTCATACTTCCTTCTGATGCACTATCATTTCCACTTCCTTGAGAAATAGAACCAGCAAACCGAGGTGTACTGGAGCTTGAACTGGAACTTGATCCCTCATTAGAGTTCCTTTCTTTCTGCATCTCCTGTTTCCTTTTCAGCTTCCAACAATCCTCAATGGTATGATTGTTCATCTTGCAAAAACGGCAAAACTTCCTTCCCTTTGAATCTGTACTCTCCCTTGCATTGTTGTCCCCAACTGCCAAGGTCAAACTCTGTCCCTTCTTTCCACTTGTAGTTGTATCTGCCTTGAGCTTCTGTTCATGCTGAAGTAAGTCATCAACAGCAGCAGACACAGTGGGAAGAGGTTTTTGCATAAGCAGCTGCGTTTTAACCACTTCATAATCCGGATTTAGCCCTCTCAAGAAACGTATCAGGTAGTCAGTTTCCTGTTTCTGCACAAAGGCAGCAACTGCAGCACAAGGAATAGGATTTCCAGGTGCACAGGTACAAGGGGTAATAGGACTAAACTCCACATATTCATCCCATAGTCCCTTAATAGCCGTGTAATACTGAGTAATGGACTTGGATCCTTGTTTACAGGCTTGGATCTCATCTTCCAGGTTCACAATCCTCATAGCATTAGGCTGACCAAAACGCCTCTTTAATTCCTCCCACAATGTCTTCGAGTTGTTGTGATTCAGGACAGATCTCCTAAGTTCTTTGGTCATGGAGTTCTGAATCCAACATAAGACTACTGTGTTGCAGGCATCCCACAAACCAAACAGATCTGCATCTCGAGGTGGTACTGGAATTGACCCATCTATAAAACCAACCTTGTTCTTTGCTTTCAACACTACTTGCATACAACGACTCCACATCACATAGTTCGTGCCATCAAAAGGCTCAGCAACAAGAGATTGAGACATGTTCTCATTTGGGTTAAGGTAGTAGGGGTTACCAAAGACGATTGTCTCGGGTTGAAGTTGAGTCTGGTCGAAGGAACCAAAACGAACCCCTGAAGCTGACGTTGTTCCACCGCCGGTGCTCCCATTGTTCGGCGG